ACTCTTTCTTATCTGTACACTTTGGTTTTCATTCCCAAAGTGAAAGAGAACCATTTAAATGACAGTTTGCCTTATTCTTAAAGTTATTTAATTCCACATATTTCTGTTCATTTCCCTAGGAAGCACACCCGGAATAGAAAGAAAAATAAGAAATGTCTGCCCTCCAGGAGTTCACCCTCAGGCAGATGGAGGAGAGAAAGTGTGATATTCAGAACAGGTTGCACGCTTTAAAGACCTGTGTGCTCTCTTGTCTTTGCAACAGGTACCATTTCTGTCAACACTCTGCGCACGCCCTACACTGCTCCTGGCGAGAGTGAGATTCTGGACCTGGATGACGAGTTGTACCTGGGGGGCTTGCCAGAAAATAAGGCTGGCCTCGTCTTCCCCACCGAGGTGTGGACTGCGCTGCTCAACTATGGCTACGTGGGCTGCATAAGAGATTTGTTCATTGATGGCCAGAGCAAAGATATCCGGCAAATGGCTGAAGTTCAAAGTACTGCTGGAGTGAAGCCATCCTGCTCCAGGGAAACAGCAAAACCGTGCCTTAGCAACCCTTGCAAAAACAGCGGCATGTGCAGGGATGGGTGGAACAGATATGTCTGCGATTGTTCCGGAACAGGCTATCTTGGCAGGTCCTGCGAGAGAGGTAGGGTTCCAAAATCCAAGCTGCCGACTCCCCTGAGCTGAAAAGCGTATTCAGAGTGGACCTCAAACTTTAAATGACCATTGAAACATAACGTATGCTCTGCGGAAGTAAACTCTCTGCAAGCTGTGCAGCCACACCTGACATGTGTTACTGATGAGTCCTTAATGATTTTCAAAGGGCCTGATTCTGGGAAGACAGCTTTTTAAGTGTATTGCAGGGATAAATAAATAGTTGGGTCTTTTGGATCCTCTAGGGTATGGGCCTAAGATGTATCAAAGACAATCACTGTCTCTCTTGCCCAGTTTTTAATTTCAAGACACTAGGAAGTAAGAAAAAGGAATGAATTAGACAGCCTTTTGGCATCTAGTGCCATCTATGTCAAAAATAGCATTCGAAGCAAACTAAGCTGTGAGTTGCAGCTTCCCTGACACTATTGCCTGAGCCTGTCATTTCACTTCAGTGGACCTTCTCAAGTTTGAAATTTGAAGAGTAAGGTGACTTTAAACCATCTAAGTTATACCAGCGTTTTCAGAAGTGCACACCCTAATTTCAAAGGTGCTTACCTTTGCCTAAGACCCAACTGACGCAACTGGTAGAGGTTCCTTTACCAATTTGATATTAAGGCTTAGCATGTCTGTGGAAGCTCTGAACGGGTGCCTCTTTTTCCTTCTCTTGCAGGAGGCAAAGCTACATTTTTTTTTTTCTTCTCCCATTAGAAGGAGAATAGGGTTAAAGGAAGAGTAAAGTGTGATAGCTGTCACCGCTCATTTGCAGACCAGACAAAAGGAAGAAATAGCAGAACACATATGTCTAAGTATGTTCTTTCATCGACCCAAGAGTTTCAGATAAATGCTTTAGTCACTATACCCATTGTCACTCATTTTCAACAATGGAACAAAAAATCAATATGAAAAAATACTGACGAGTTGTTGCATGTCCTCCCATGCTCCAAATAACATTGCTCTCTTAGACATTTAGCCTAAAAGTACCTGCCATTTATTTATTTTATTTTTTTAATTTTTTTTAAAGAAGATGTTGGGGGTAGGAGTTTAATAATTTTATTTTTATTTATTTTTGCTGTGTTGGGTCTTCGTTTCTGTGTGAGGGCTTTCTTTAGTTGTGGCAAGCGGGAGCCACTCTTCATCGCGGTGCTCGGGCCTCTCACTATCGCGGCCTCTCTTGTTGCGGAGCACAGGCTCCAGATGCACAGGCTCAGTAGTTGTGGCTCACGGGCCTAGTTGCTCCGCGGCATGTGGGATCCTCCCAGACCAGGGCTTGAACCCGTGTCCCCTGCATTAGCAGGCAGATTCTCAACCACTGCGCCACCAGGGAAGCCCTGCCATGTATTTTTTAAGCCATACACATTTAGTCTTTTTGACCCTGCATTCCTGAAATAGTTTAATTTACTTAAGCTAACACTTACTAGAGAAGTATTTCTTTTCCAGAATCTAAAGTTGAAATGTGATTTTGATTCTTTATCTCAATAAGGAGGTTCATCAGCTTAATCAATATAAAAATCAATAATAATGACCTAATAATCTAATAATGATCTTAAATTACCTACCAACATACTATCACTGTTCTGGGTTGTACAATGAGATAGGTCCATATATAGATAAATATTTTAATTGTCTAGATTCATTCATTCTCCTAGTACTTAATTGAAATTCCTGTGAATAGTCATTAGAGGTTAATTATTTCTGCATAGTTTTGTTTGTAAGGTATATATTCTCTGCACATTTTCCGTTCTAATTTCAGTTTATTTATTTGTATAGTATAGTTTTTAGAAATTTCCCAAAGGAGGCAACAACAACAGGGTGACAAAGCTTGCAAGATATATTAACAGTTAGGTATAATGTGAGATTAGCAAACCTGTGTGATTTAAGATTGTGTTTTCACTATTTTTTTTTTTTTTTTTTTTGCGGTACGTGGGCCTCTCACTGCTGTGGCCTCTCCCGTTGCGGAGCACAGGCTCTGGACGCGCAGGCCCAGCAGCCATGGCTCACGGGCCCAGCCGCCCCACGGCATGTGGGATCTTCCCGGACCGGGGCACGAACCCGTGTCCCCTGCGTCGGCAGGGTGTTTTCATTTTAATCACTCAGAGAGCTGTCACTGCAGCCATGGCTCACGGGCCCAGCCGCCCCACGGCACGTGGGACCCCCCCAGGCCGGGGCACGAACCCGCGTCCCCTGCATCAGCAGGCGGACTCCCAACCACTGCACCACCAGGGACGTCGGCAGGGTGTTTTCATTTTAATCACTCAGAGAGCTGTCACTTATTCTGATGCCTCCTGCTTAAGTGAAGCTAGAAAAGGGTATAACTGAACTGTCACACAAATTACAAAGGCCTTCAGTTAAATATGCATGGTGTACCACCCTGTGGCAATATTCCGCTACTACATATGGCAGAAATAAGAATGGAAATTGTAGAGCTTCCTAAACCAGAATGAGGGAGAGAAACTATTTATATATTGCAATAATTAGAAGGAGGGGTGGCAAGCATATGCAGCTTTGCAAATGAGAATTTAGTAGCAAACTTCATCACTGGGATTCAACGTACATTTTTATCTGATAGGTGGCTGGAAATTTCTGCAGATTTCTTTGAATACAGGTTGGTTGTGTACTGAGGAGAGAAAATAGTCATTTTTGTGAGGTTTTTGTTTCTGGACTACCCAGTGTACTGTGAGAAGTCTTTGCTTTTCAGAATTAATTTTCTTGCTCACATTGTGGCATCTCCCAAGAACAAGGGTTATGTGGGATGCTTGTCGTGCTCAATACCACAAAATCTGGCTTCTGTCCAGTTCCCAGCTCTGCCCTAGTTCAGTCAACACAAGATCACGTCCAACCCTCAGGGTTTCCGATTCAGAAGAGAGAGCTTTGACTGTGGTTCTTCTTCACATATACTCTGATCACATAAGGCTGTTGATCACCTAAAAGTTGACTGACAGCTCTGGAAATTAAAAGAGCAAAAGGCGTTTATAAAGTTTCTATTCTATTATTGAGCAATAAATGTTAATTTATAAAGAAGCATGTTCAAGTCCTTGGACACTGCAGCATGGGGAACGATGTTGCAATCACATAGAAGATCTTCATTCTTCATTAAGTAAGCAGAAGAGTTTATGAAAAAGATCAGAGTGTATGCTGACTTAGGCAAATAAGAAAATAGTATTTTGTTTTATGTGCACTGATCCCATAAAGAAGAGTAGTATAGAAGTCATGTCCAATTGAATATAAATTGAATTCAGCACCTTCTCTCCTGCTTTATTGTTTTAAACTGAGAATTTGTGGAGACTTGGTCATATAGAAATCCTTCTTGGTTGTATGTATATGGTATCATTGGAGGTTTACTTTATACTTGTTTGTTAAAACTCCGGCAGATGGAGGGACAGATGTCAGAGCAATATAATTTGGCTCCCTGTCTGATTTTCATTGCTGACCACAATATGTGACTGCCTTTCGGCAAAGCTGAGCCCAGGTGTACACTTTAAACCACAAGAAGGAATAACACAGAAAAGCAAATTTATCAAACTTAATGACAAGGGGGAAGGAGATGGAGGGGGCGAAGTTGAAACTTTTTCTCTCCTGCTGGGAAGTGCTGTATTAGAATTAGCCTTTTAAAGAACTCTTTTGTGTTGTAAGCGATGTTTACTAATGTTTAAAGGATGCTGCCAAATAGCATAACCTTCAAATGTCAGAATGTTGTTTACCATTTATTTGGCAACTCTAGACTACAACCTTTGCATTTTCCATTTCTTGTCTAATTAAACATTAACTCAGAGGCACTCGAGTTTTATGACTTTACTGTTATTTCATTCCTGCAGTTTTTCAGAGAATGTTAAAGGCCAATGATACTGATTTTTTTTTTTTACTTTAGATTGTATTTCATACAATATTTATGATCCATTGTCATCTATATTTCTAAAAGGATGTTCCCTCTACTTAATTTTCAATCAAATTAAGCTACATTTCATAGAAGAATATGAGATCATTTAAAAAAAATGATTGTTGAATAATAGAGACTAGATTTACAGATTAAATAAATAAGAGAAAACTAAAAATATTTTCTCCCTTTTCTCTGTATAACACCAAAGTAACTGAACAATTGATAATGCCTTTTAAATTTTTATTCAAATATTTGTTGCTTTATAGATATGGACAATAATTGGCTATAAATTAGGAAGAGAAATGGTAGAGATCAAATTTCTTTAACATTATACTAGAAGCATTTTTTTTCTAGTATTCACTACAACTTTACAATCATGTTTTAATTATTTTTTGAGCAACTCCTACTAGATTTTCTTTAGGGAAACCTTATTGGAAAAATACGATGTAGATATGTGACATGAGGTAGAACCACCGTATTTTAAGGGGATCATATTTTATTTTCTCAGTACTTAGGTCAATGCTTAGCCATGAGAGCCCTGTTTTGGTAAACAGAACCCTCTCCTAGTCTGTCTTTTGTGGCACAATTATGGCTTTCAACGTAGACTTTAAGGGATATTTTGTTCATCTACCTTACCAAAATTAGATTCACTTACAATAGACAGAATAACTAATCTCATTAGTGAGTATTTATGTATGCATGAGATTCAAATTGAAATATGCTCTTTCATATATCCTCAGTATCAAGTGCAATTGTCAATTCAGTCCATTTTATCGAGGCTGTACTGTTTGCCTGGCGCTTTTTGGTGCACTTGGCTGATGATAGAGCAATGAATAGCAGAGCTCAGCTTCTGCTGTAATGACTGTCACATACTAAAAGGCAAAGACAGATTATACTATACAAACAAATCAGAAATGGTAATTTAAAAAAAGAAATGGTAAGTAGATATAGAATAACTGGAGGGGGAATCAGAAGCAGGATTTGAAGCAGGCGTCTCTGGAGTAACGTTTAACCAGAGACCTGAATGCTGAAGGAACAAGCCATATAAAGATCTAGGGGTGAGACCTTTTAAGACAGAAGGTTCCACAAGTGCAGATACTTGAATGAGAGATGAAATCAGCGTGGCTGGAGTTTACTAAACAAGGGAGGACGTGCTAAAAGCTGAGGCCAGAGAGATGGGCAGGGGCCAAATCACACACAACCTTATAGGTTAATAAAAGGAATACAGATTTTATTCTAACTGCAGTGGTGGGAATCTCTTGGCGAGGGGTGGGGAGGTGAAGGATGGAGGTGGGGGGTGGGGGTTGGGTGTGCACAGTTGAATCAATGAAGTGCTATTGAATCTGATCGACTTATTTGAAAGTTTAGCCTGGCTGCTGTGTATAGGGAGAAAGAATAGAAGTAGGGAGACCATTGAAGGAGCTATCATAGTGGTCTAGGTGAGACATGAGAGCAGAGTCTAAGGCACTATAGCGGCAAGAACTGATTGATTCAGGAAATGGATTGGAATCAGAGGCTGCAAGACTTGCAGATTTGCAAATAGATTGGATGTGGCAGAGAGGGTAAGAGAGAACGCAGAAAGGTTAAGGTCTGAATAATGGTGTTAGGCCATTTACTGAGATGGAGAACACTGGGGCAGGAACATGTTGAATTTGTTCATTTTTGGTGTGTGTATCTTATTCAGATTGGAGATGTCACATAGGCAATGGCTGATGGATGTTTGATGGGGCTCAGGAGAGAAGTCAGGACTGTTAATAAGTATTAGGGGGAGTGAGCATGTGAGTTGACCAAGATCCCTTAAGAGGTAGAGAGAAAAGAGAAGGGCCCTAAGGAAGGAGTTCTGGAACCCTCAGCACTTATCTGTTCTGGATGTGCATTCAGTCCCACGAAGATAACTAATGATTAAAGTCTGTTAGAAGCAATACTTGATTTTCCTGACTTTTTGGAAGATAATCTTTCAAAACCACAACTCCAGAATATAGTCTTCATAGTAAGCATGGTTTCATCAGTAAAGTTAATTGCTGTAAATAGGCAAGATAATGAGAATTTCCTAGTTTATTTTAATTTCAGGTAGGTTTTCTTTTATTAAATGGTATTCTGAGTTATCAGAACGAATGGGAAAGCAAAATGACTCATACTTGTTTTGCAGGGTTCCACAACCATTTGGTGTTTAACATTAAGGGGTGCTATTTCTTAAAACAGTCAGTTTGAGATCAGCAGTTTTGCTATTAGCTTCTCTATGTGTTTAATGCAGCATTAAGCAACTTCCCGATTAAAGCAATCCATTTTCCTTTAGTAGCACACACCCACACAAGCTTCTCAGTCCCACCCCCATCCTTACTCAATGTTACCCAGGTACATAGTTATTGACTTTTTGGTGATAGCTTAATTTTTTTGGAACACTGTGGTGGTGCTTACAGATAATGCTTTAAGTTACCCCTTATCTGCAAATGAACTTTCAAATGAAGTTACAGTTTGTGTCTTTGAAAAAATGAATTACCTTGTTAACCATAATGACTCAGAAGAAGCATTACCTGTTGTTTGGTAATATCAGTTTTTCTTCTGTTTTCTTCTGTTTTTGAACATCACCTCTGGAAAAGTGTTGGCCTGAATCCTATATTTAAGTCATATTTTTTATATTTCTTTTTTGATTGTATTAGGGCAGAAATTATGAAAAAGATGATGATAATAACTTTTCTTAGAATCATGGACTTTTGGGGTAGGCAAAGGCCTTAGAGATGCCCTAGTAGCGCCCTCTCATTTTGCAGGTGAACGATGCAGAGCCAAGTTTAATTTCACGGAGCTGATCAGTGGCCTGACCATATATAAACATGCATATACAGTTGCTGGTGCTTCAAGCCAGGCTCACGCTATGGCTGTACAAAAAAATACGATGTCTGCGCTTGAGAAGGGATATGCATACATGAACATGGATAATCTGACATGATGAATGCTATAGGTAGAAAGTGCTCTGGGTGCAGAAAGGGAAGTGCAGCCACCTCTGCTTCTGGACTTTAGCAGATACTTCACAGAGGAAGTTCTCTTTCCTGTGACTTCTCTTTCTAGTTTAAAAAAAAAAATAGCTCATTTCAGAAGAAGATGAGCTGAGTTTGTGTCTTGTGTTCTATATGGAAACCTTTAATAGGTCATGCTTTTCCTTTTTAAAGTATAAATGCACTAAACTGACCAAGAGCTTTTATATTCATTTCCCATCTATAGAAGCAACGGTTCTGAGCTATGATGGGAGTATGTTTATGAAAATCCAGCTCCCGCTGGTGATGCACACGGAGGCTGAGGATGTATCCTTACGGTTTCGGTCCCAACGCGCATATGGCATTCTCATGGCAACCACCTCCAGAGACTCAGCAGACACCCTCCGCCTGGAGCTGGACGCAGGACGTGTGAAACTGACGGTCAATCTAGGTAACAACTCGCCTTCCCCCATTGAACTAACACTTTTCACTTTTTGTTCAGTTTTGCCTGCAAACATTTATCAAGTAGCCTGTTTGCCATGGAAAGTTAAAACACTTAATGGTCTCATCTCCATTATTTAAATTCATTTAGGTTCGGGGGACATCGTTTTATTGTTTCTATTTCGTTAACATAATTTACTGTTTTGTGATTCCTACCACTGAGGGTTCTTAAAAGGGAAGCCGTATGTATTAATGAGGTTAATTGAAAGTATAAATGTTCAGGCTTAACGATGCCTCAAACTGAATTTCCTGCTTTTATAGTGACTGACACTCTGATTGGTTATAGGTGAAATCCTTTCAGATAAAACAAAAATACACCAACTTTTACTTGGATAACATATGCTATAAAATGTCAAATTTCTACTTAGTGATCTAGATCAACAGTTGCTCTTTCTCTATGCCTTGGGCTTCTCCTTTGAATAATTACCTTTGTGGTATTCCATCTTTTCTGTTTGAAAATACTGTGTGGTGGTATTTTGCTATCAAACAGCAGTACACAACCCTTCAATGCCCAAAGTCTGCGGCCCTCAGCAAACAGCCATGAGAACACTAAAGACACAGACTCTTCTACAGAAAAGTAATGCTTTCCTGCTTAATTGTAGCATTCAGAAAGAGTCACTACAGTAAAACCTCACCAAACTGGATGAAATCTGGGAGAAGACCAGGCTGAATTAAGAAAAAGTCTAAATTGTAAGAAAAAAAGAAAATTGTAAGCAGTTTTGTTTTCAATTACATTCAAAAACACAAATTAATAGCTGGAAAAATCTTAAGGAAAGGTCTTACTAAGGCTGATGTTAATGGGTGGTTAAGAATTTTCCATAATTAGCACATTATTTCATGTTAGTTGTGCCATCATTGTATAGTAAATTACTTGAAATCAGTTTTCTTCCCAAACTTGGCCTTTCATAATTTGTTTAATTTTTCTCAGGGGATCTCCACTCATATCGAATGAAGAATTACAAATATTCTGCCCAATACATTTCAATATTATCATTAACTCCAAATTGTAGGAGTATAAATTAATGAGGTTTTACTGTATTTCCTGGAAGTGCTGAGTACACACAATAATGAATAAACGGAGAGAAAAATAAAATTCAAGACTACATAGATTTACAAAAAGAGTAGTAAAATGTGATGAGTTAAGGCATTTGTGAAAACCCCACATACATTTTCAAATTATGTTGGGCAGAATAGTAGCTCATAAAATATAAAATTACTTCATTGGTAGTTTATTGCATAAATTGCATCAATTAATATTAGTTAAATTAAGTTCAATAATAAGACATTTTTTTAAGATTACTAAAGAACACACAGTACTCTTTTACAGTTCTGTTAGAGTTCCCTCTAGTGACAATGATAGGTTACTACAAGTCAATCAAAATTGCCTAATTGCAGTAAAGGGGCTGTTAGCCCTGGGAGGTGGACACGCTCGCTCATGGGAATTTTCCAACAGCAAAGCATTCTGTGGAAAGAGTTGTGTAGGTGCTGATCCTTGGCTGTTTGCAACCACTTTTCTGATGCGGTTGACGACACATGACAAACTCAGCTATATGGAAACAGAATCTAGGTTTGTATTTTTCATGTTCCCCAAAGGCATTAAATACTACAAACAAAACCAACAAATATTTATCTATATATAAAATAAACATAAATCATGCCACATGATCCTTTAAAGATAACCCTTATAATCACAGTCTGTGTTATCCAGATTAGACATTCTGTTCTTAGGGAATCTGATTTTATGTAAGAAGAAAGTATAGGAAAAGGAAAATCAATAGCAGTAGTTACCATGACACTTACTACGCAGAGATAACATTGTTCGCTCCTAACAGAGGGATAGCTGTGTACTCCGAAGAATGACACTACTCCTTAGCCACTAGAGTTTCTAAAGGGAACAGTTGTTTCTTTCTTCCTCCAATTAATACAAGGCACGGAATCCAGCTAACACCTGGCTCTTACCTTTTTTGCCCAAGCAAATAATAATAATAAATACATTAGGGTGAAATGAGAATAATTTCAACTAGCTCTCCATTTGACCATGACAATTCTATAGGATTCTGTTGGCCTTTGTGGGATAATAGATTTTGGAGGTTCAAGATGTCTGAGCCTAGCTGAGCTTGCACTGTACCCCATTGTGACGGAGCACTTTTTAATTATATTGAAAACAATGATTTGTTCTTTCACAGATGGGGAGAAAGCTGCAGCCAGTCTAAGCCAAGCATCTTTGACAGTTAACAATTCTCTATTTCACTTAGATTTGTCACCATGTAGCTTTGTTTGAATTGGCCATTTTTTTAAAAACCTTCTAATTGTTGTTTCCAATGGTGCAGTTTTATAACAATGAATCTGGGTTCTAGAAGTATGTAAAGAATAAACAATATGGAGTGGCCATATTTGCATGTGTCTGTCCCCGGAAGGGTGGACTGTGTTTTATTGGATGTCTGCAGCTATTACCTTGAAGGATAAATTTTCATTTTTCATCTATTCTTCCCCATCTAGATTGTATCAGGATTAACTGTAATTCCAGTAAGTGCCTATTCAAAATTTTTAAAATGTTATTCCTCCATTATGATGTAGCTAGTCAAGAAAAAAAAGAGAGCAAGAGAAAGGCGTTTATAAAACTCATGAATTCACTTTTGAAGTATACCAGTCCATCATCTGGGTTGTAAAAATTCATTTTGAAATCTGTCCAGCTGAAGACTTTCCTGCTTCAGTTCCTACCTCTAAGTGGGAAAAGAGGTGACAAATATCTTGTAACAGAAGGTGCAAACGTCTCTGTAGACCTTTGGATAAAGCAAGTAGCATTTGTATTTTGGCAGATCTTGGACTCCAGTAGTTCTCTTCACAACCAAATTAGGAGAAAATACTGTGGGGTCTTATTTCCTTCACTTTCTGTTTTTATCTCTTAACTCAAATACAGGAAAAAAAAATCTTTTCATGTGAAAGTTACTATTAAACCCTTCTAAATTCAACCAAAATTTTACATTGGAAAATGTGTGTTTTTCCAAGTTTTATGTATATACAGAAAATTACTTATCTAAAGAGTTTTTTCTTGTACATTATGACTATTTACATAATGAATTTTTACATCCTAATCATATATCTGCAAAAATAACCCAAACCCTTCAAATCTTTGATATGCATGCCAAATGATGAGTTAGAAAAGATGCATGGACTGAGTTTTTTGATTTGGACTAGAGAACTTGAAAGGATGTAAGGACTGTGATTTTATTTTGAGTTGTAGCATTATCTGAAGTGTAAATTTATTTTATTTCTTTACATAAATATTTAGGTTTTTCTTTTCCAGGTTGTGCTGACCACATTGAGGAATCTCATCTAATATATCAAAGTTGTTAGTTATTTAACTAAAATGGTTCTAACCAAGCTTCTAATCTTTCACTGTCATAGTCAGTAAAACATTTTTTTTATATCCTTGGAAAATGCTGAATGTGAGTTGCTGGAGTCTACTCCCGAAACCTTTGGCTGTGTTTCCAAATGTCAGTAAGTCATCCTCTGAGGAATAAAATGATGGTCTCCAACTTACAAAAACAAGAAGCTTTATCTAATTAAATGCATGCTATTTCAAATATCCGTGCTTCTTACAACTCAGATTTGTCTTAAAATATTTTAATATTCATATTAACACAGAATAAAAGCCAGTCTTTCCAATCATAGCAATAAAAAGGTAACTGAATCATGATTTATGAAAAAATAAATTATTATACTATCATACAGGCATAAAAATCATCTCAAACAGAGTACAGTTCCTGAACTAATCTCTCAGAGCTCTAACACAAGTAGAATTTTTCAAGTATACATCATCTCTTCGCAAACCCCATCTTTACTACACTCTATGAAAAGGAGCACAGGTTTAGAAGTCTGATACCATGGTCCAGTTTGCTTTCAGCTCTGGAGCATAGATGCAGACAAAGTGGCAACTCACAAAAATCTTTTCCCAAAGCCAGATTTGTGACTCAGTGCAGCTGTAGATGTTCTTGATTCTCCCTGGATCTTAGAAAATCCATGTGAGGAAACTATTTTTCTAGACTTCTGCTATATAATTTTATTTATATTAGGCATACAGTAAAGCATGGGTTTTTATTTACAAAATATAACTACGTAAGCTCTAGTATTTAATGGAAATTAACCCCATCAAATGTGCTTCTGTGTTCTCAGCTCTATCAATGTTTTTTTTTAAATACTTGTTTATAGTCTAATTACCCTTGTTAGCTACTTGTCTTCATTTGGCTTATTATTGTAAGACTGATATTAAGCATAGTATTTTCTCTGGATATTTCACAGAATAATACCTTTGAGGACAAAGGTTTTTTCGGGTTAGTGGATTTTTTCCCTTTTTAAGGAGTGTGTGTTACACTTAAATTACTTGAATTAAACCAATGATTGTGAGCTTTCAGTGCACACCTCGGACAGGACTGCAAATGCCTTAACTTGACAGCAGTCACTGGAAAGCACATTCAGTGATCAGGTAATGTTTTCATTTCCTTTGCCTTTGTTTTATTTGGGGAATAGTGGGCAGATGTAGCCAGAACTCCCAAGTTCCATCTAGAATTCATGTCGTTACTCAACTTTGAGGAGAGGGAGGAATTTACATTTCGAATAATGCAGATCTAACTCACAGTGATAAATAAGCAGAGCTGTCTACCTGGACTGCGTTTTGTACCCAATAAAAAATATAAATAAAATACTTGTATCTCAGTATAACTTGTAGTTTAATGAAAGATTGACTTACTCCATTTATCCTCTGTAAGCCCTAAGTTTGTCTGAAACTGAAATGTACATTTACTAAATCACAACTTTCTATCACCACCGTCTAAAAATTATACCATACCTAAGACATCAACTGTGTTTTGAGCTTAATAAGAAATACCTCAATTGATGTCTTTAAGAAAATTTCCACAGGAAGTATACAAACTGTAACAGAAAAATTATCTTAACATTGAGAATGAATATTAAACTCTTCATTATTAATTTTGAATGGAAATCTTCTCCAATTTCCCTACCCTTACTCAGATTTGCTCGG